CAACGTCGCAGCACTGATGTTGTTTTCTTGGTTGGGGGGTTGGCGGCGAGAGAGAGAGAGAGAGAGAGAGAGAGAGAGAGAGAGAGAGAAGGGAGAGAGAGAGAGATAGTGAGAGTGAGAGTGGGAGGGGAGGGATGCCAACGGCAGGAGGAGGGAGGTAGGGAGGGAAGGAGGGGCAGGGACGAGGCAGGTCAGCCGAAGAGCCCATGAGCTTAAACTCTTTCAACATGTGGTGAACGAATGCGGCCGGGATTGAAGTGCTTTGAATCAAGACCCTCCAACCCTGCATGCGAAAACTTCTCCAGGAGGCTGAAGATGAGAGTGTTTCCCTGTCGCAGAACGCCGATAACATCGCCCTGCGCAACCTTCATCGAGCCGAAGTTAGTGCTTCGCCTGGGAGTGGAGCAGGGCCCGAGGATTCGGAAGCTTTGCCGGGTTGTCTGGTGTTTCTCACGGATCTCATGAATGTTATGCGTCAGCGTAGATAGGCAGTTTGTGGGGAAGGGGGGGGGGGGTGCTGACTAAGACACTAAGATATCCGAAGCTTTGCCCAACTGAGAAAACAAGAAAAATGTAGCGACAGTTACACATGTCCGCTCCTCGCTTCAGTGGAAAGCGCAAACTCCGAAATTGCGGCTGGACACTCCATGTTCCCACCGCGATGCCGGCAGAACTGTGGATGCGAAGGATTCCAGACCCAGGCCTGCACTAGAGAGTTTTATCTCCCTGCGCACACAAAGGACTACACTGTCTACACTGCCTTACAACATCTTACAACCAATGCATGCGCAGATCGCCCAGCAGTGAGCATTGTCCCACAGACCTACAAGGTCGGATCCCGGAACTATCCAACTTCTCCTGCAGTAAGTCAGAATACAACTGCATACTTCACGAGACGCGGCCTGCCTGCCAAGAATTCAAGTTGTCTGGTGCCGTGGCAACACCAATGTACACGATGCTGCCAGTATACCAGGTAAGACAGGCCTCCGAAATAGTCGGAACTGCTGTTTCAGGCAGCATGCTCTTCACACAACTGTGCGCAGGCCTACGCTTGATGTTCAGGTTACATGCGAACCCTCCGATCTCGCAATAAGATTCCGCTCCGAAATCAAGATGGCCAAGAAACATAAAAGTTTCCGCCGTCCGGTGACAGGGGCTGTGCTGCCACCGCAAAGGATCGTGCATCACCTGCGTAACGGCTAGGTATGCGGAGGTCCAGCTACCATAGCAGAGCTCCGAAGCTTTGACAAGATAGGTAGTTCTATGAGCCCGCTGCACCCCGACACAGCGCGATCCCTAAAGAGACTTAAATAAGCCACCCGGACAAGCGCTGCCCTCAGCAGTCACACAAGCTAGCTCCACTGGCAACCAACAGTGAGTACGATCATGGTAAAACGATGAATCATTATGGGCCAGTTGCCGTAAAGAGTTATCACCTGACCCGGACCCACGATGTAACCGATCCGCAGAAGACAGCTGAACGAAAATGAACTGTCGGTTGAGTCGACGATGTGATCCCAGCAAGTGCCGCTGCAAAGCAACTTCACTCCGGTAATTATCAAATCATCGCTGCAAGACTTCGGTGTGTTGAAGACTGAACGGCCGAAATTTAGGCCCAGTCACGAAGACTTCGCACAAGCGAGCCGTTGCAGAGAAACTCGATGGAATTCCTGGTGCCCGTTCTCGTGAACGCCGTTTCGATCACAAAACTTTGCGTGGCATCGCGTGGTTCCCGTCTTGATTATTGTAGGTCGGGAAATACAGGTACTGGGGTGTCTCTGCATGTGTCGGATGGGTTTCGCTTGCTGCCACTTCGTTACGGTGTGCATGACGAGCTAAACACTCTAATGACTTTAATCCTCATCCTCAGCTCATCAAGTCCGAGGCTCCCGACGACACGGGAGCTGTCAAACTTTAGCCGCCGCCTCTGTCGCGTGCGCTGCGTGTCGACACGGTAGTTACCGTCCTCAGTGCGCATTCTATCACTTTGACCTCACCCACCCGAATCAAGGACTTTGGGGAATGAGCTGAGGACTGTCTGGCTGTAACAAGGGAAGTCTGGCCAACCTTCACTCTGCACACGACTTGATCATCTCCTTGGTCCAGGTGGTTCTTAGATTCGAGATCTTGGTCCGGGCAGGAAGCATGCAAAGGGGACGTGTAAGCTGTAGTACCGAGTACTTGGACATGACATCTCAAGTATACGGAAGTGCTACACGCCAGCTGCGGCTGCGGATCTTGCATCCCGTCTAGCAGTGCTTGCAGCGCCTGGGGCACCTGGGCAAGCACGATTTTGTGAGCTCTTCGAGAAAGGGGTGTGTGTGTGCGCTTGCCGTGGGCATGTCAATGTTTCGAGGCCTCTGTTTGCTTGTAATAACAGTACATCGTGGGCTAAAGAGCACATGGCACTGTGCAATTCACTGTGCTGGCTGCTCTGTTCCGTCTGCCAGTTCTGGCCGCCAGTGCGTCTCAGGTGCCTGTGGATGCCACTGCTCGAAAGCAAGCTCTGGCGATGGGTACAAGGGACAAGAATCCGACCAAACTTACAATCACTGCTGGTGCTGCCGTTGCTAGGAACCGACAACCTCTGAGGCTGGAGTCTGATCTGCTGAGGCACTGCCATTAAGGGGTCTGCCCGCACGATCTCCGTGACAAAGCTTTTCGACATGATTGGAAAGCGCACCTTGGAAAAGAGCTCGAAGAGAGTTTGCCTCAGCGCTCGGCATTTAACTCGGGAAGCACGGCACGAGGTGCGTGAACACTACCCGAGTTCGGCCACCCGCAGGCGCGTCGGTCAAAACGGCGGGCTCTGTCGCCCCGAGGATAGCGCATCGGAGGGCTAACGGGGAAGGGGCAGGGAAAGGGCGATAAGCCATCAAGAAAGAGAAAGAGGTAGAGAGAGAGAGAGAGAGAGAGAGAGAGAGCGAGCGAGAGCAGAATACATGCAGCTCTTAGTCGTCCAATGCAGTGGGGCAGCTGCAGGCAGAACTCTACATCCCAATCACCGACCGAGCAGCAAAAGCAGAGCCTGGAATATCTAGAATCTAGCCCGTGCATGTGCAAGCTCAACTAAGACTCAAGACTCTGCGCTTATGAGCCCAAAACAAAGGTCACAACTGCGCAAAGCACAAGGTATGACCAGCACTATCGTGACCGTGAAGGCGCGAATTCGATCGATTTCGTAAACCATTCTGAAAACTTCCGTGCCCAATCAAAGCATGGGAAAGCTGCGGTGGTAGGTCCACCTGAGCATTCACCCAACGCCGCACCGCTGTGAAAACAACCTGAGGGACACAACAAACGTCGTCCGGCATGGTCTTCACCGCAACAGAGGATAGACCCAATCTCAAACGTCGAGGGGTCGAAAATCCATCTGCGAAGAAGTTTCCCTGTACCTGCAAAACATGAGAAACCCTTCCTAGACTGCAGCGTGCAGGCTCCAATAAGCAGGGTTTTCACCTGCGCTCCGGAATGCGAACCTCAGGGAAGCACAGCCTAAACGTCCCTAAGCCCTAAGGAGGCCTCCTCCTTGCTGATGTTCAGGTCGTCTTCCCCAAGCAGCATGAGTAGTCGCTCAGCACTCATCCTCACACTAAAAGCGTAGTGTTAGCGCCGCTGGCTTCGACGAGTTCCACACTCAGTTTGATGCAGCTTATACCACACGACCAAAAACAGCTGCCGCGGCTGCGATCGCCGCCGCCGCCAGCACCAAAGCAAAACAACGACGACGATGACGACGACAGCGAGTAACAGCGATTAACAGTGATTGGGCTAAGGTAATTCTCGCTCGCTGGGTCCAAAAATTCAAGGCTGCAGCGTTAAGCTGTACCTGGGGCCTCCGAAGCCAAACTGAGAAAAGCGTGCGTTGCATCGGGAGAGCTCACTGTGAAAGGACTGGGGTCACGCCGGCCCTTATCCCGAACTGTCAACTTCGACTCCGGGCTTGGCATTCTGGCCAGATTTGCTGCAAGGGAAGTCCAAGGCGCGCAAGAAACTCCGACTCCGCCGCGATATCTTCGAAGTTGCCGATGCACATGATCTTTGCCGCCTCTCCCAGTGTTTCGATAGGAAAGCCAAGGAGAATCCTCCCACGAGATTGTCTAGCTTGTTCCTTTGATGGTACAGGGAATGGAGTCCAGGACGATAAGGCAAGGTGCAAACTACGACGAAGCCTGATGCCGAAGCCCGCCCAACACAAGCGAGTACGAAGCCAGTAACTCTACTTCAAAACTCACCGGACAAGTGCTAAGACTATTCCAGGCACACCTCAACTATCTGAGAGCTTGCCTTGAATATCCCTACACTTCTCGAGCACAACCTTCTCATCAGTAGCCGAGGCACGTTCAGCAACTTCGTAAGGGACAGCCGGTCAGCCACTTCCCAGATACGGAGGCAGTTTTTCGGAGAAAGTCGCTCCTACACGGGCGAAGTGTCAGGCAGAATCATTGGAGCTGCTCGGCGAAAGCCCTGGGGCTTTGACAGAATAGAGGCTGTTGTCCTGTTCAACCACCGGCAGAGACAGCTAGTTAAGCCCTTGACTCCTTGACGACATGAAGTCTCCAAACCCCTTGTTGGACAGAGCTGGTCGTCGATGTGCCTACTTGGATCGATTGGTTATTTGTCTCCTTGTTACAGCCATTTACAGCCATTACCGCCACTATTGTCACAATGCGCCGCCTCTGCGACGTGCCACGTCAGCTCCAAGAGTCTGAGGTACTGCAGCCTGGAAGCGGCCTGCGCGTGAGGGTTTTTCAGACCAATTATTGTCATGGTTGCTGGCATTACTGCGGTCTGGAAGTGTAGCTGAAGCTATTCGTTGCACCAGAAGAGTGGACATAAGCTCAGACAGGAGCTATCCTTATGCCTCGGCTTGCAGCAAAGACAATATCAGGTCAGCAAAGCCCAATGAACCTGCAACCTTGGCCCAAAACACCATGCAAGCCCTGCCCAACCGGAGCTTTGGCCTCGAGGATGTGCACTAGGAGATCCTCTGGAACTATACCTTGAGCCCGTGGTAGATTATCGACCTCTGTCTCCTAATATAGTGGTACATGCTTGGATGGTGATCATTCAAAAGGAGCCATACATCGAACAGCCCACACCTGCGGCGGTATGACCAGAAGTACATGGATTCCTGCAAGCTGAAATCGTTGCAAGATATCTCATACCTCTCGTTTCGCTTACAGGTTAACAAGTGGTGCTCATCAAAACCTCAGCGGCTCGCAGAATTGCCGTTGCTTGTAACAGTCGGTGGCATTTGCAACACTAGCCCGCGAGACGAAGACGCCCTAGAAGGGGCGCCTGTCAGCCACATCCAATACATAACCAGCTTGAAAACTCAGAGCACGGTGAGCACAGCGGCTTAAGTCCAAACACAGGGCTCTGAGAGCCTTCATGGAAACCCCTCCCTGCAGTCCCTCCGCAAACGAGGCTCTGAGAACCCTCGCACGTAGACCTGAAGTAAGTACCCCAAACATCACACTCCTCCAGAGACGAAGAATTCACGAACAGGACCATCTGGTACCATCTGGTAGTATCTGCAGTCCGCGGAGCAGGATCCTGTGTACATGTGCTGCAAGACCGCCTCGAATGCCTCAGTTCTCGAAAAGGTTTAGACTCGAAACACTTCGCGACGTTCTGCAGCGAATGCCAAGGACCCCAACAGCGGCCTCGGCCTGGGAGCTCTTGGCTGCTCCCGACTGCCACCGGTCCCTTTCGAGGTCCCACCCCCCCCCCCGCTCGCTCTCCGACGTCGGCGCGAGCGATGCTTTCATTCAAAGGGCTGAGGCCGGCATGTCCGGTAGATCCAGCGACTCGCAGTTGCTGTCGGCCATGCCAATGCAAAACCGGGCCTGCTCAGGCTTGCATGGGACTTGCAGCTCTGAAGATAGGTAGAGAACTGAGTGGGTTCGCAGTACATGCTCTTTCCCTACAACACGCGTTCCAAAGTCGACAGGATTGCAGCGACTGCCAGAGAGAAACGTGGATCATGCAAGCAGCCCTACTGTCACACTGAAAGCTGTGGGCAAACCAAACAGAGACGCGGAAGCAGCTCTTTGGAAAGTTATGGCCATATGCGTAGCATACGTCGAAGTCGAAGCTGAGCATGCATGCTGCAAATGCTGGCAGCCGGGACACCCTCATGTAGTCAGAACACGATGCCAGGACAACGCGGTGAGCTTTGAATGAACCTCAGCAGTGGACTTGACCACGCATCTGGTGCTGGCCGCACCGGGCACTGTGCATGCAGTGCAGTTGTAGTTGTAGCTCTGGGCGTCGAAGGTTTGATTCATCAACACTAGAAACTGGTGAGTCCCCAGTGCGTAGGGGCAGGCAACATGTTGCAGTGTTGATGCCAAGCTGCAAGCCTCAACTCGAATTTCCACGTCGCACAGGATGCCGCTTCCTCAGATCCACGAATGTCTCAATTCTTTTGAATGCACCCGGAATTCTGGACCATGGACTGACAAATATCCTGGCGTGAGATGAGAACATCGAAGGCGAAAATTTGCACTAACTTCCGAAATAGCCAACTGCTCGCTGGCTGCTCTGACTGGCAAGCACGCGTATCACATGCCCAGCTGCGCCACATAGCAGCAAATGCCGGTGGCAGCAATGCTTCTGTCTCGATGATGCGGATCGTTCCATCGTCCTGACAAGTGGGAGACTCGTAAAGATGGCTATCCCGGCAACATGAACCTCAATTTGGCAGTTTGATCATCCGTGTGTCCATTCGCTCTGTTCGGACCGAAATATAATTCAAACTTGTTGTGGGTGATCCGTGCATCCAGAAGATCCGTAGTGTACACTCTCCTCAAAAAAATCCATCTATGCAAAGCCAATACCTGAGGAAGTGAATCCGGCTCCAGCCCCCAAAGCTCTGACCTACAGCCAAGCGGCACGAGCTCTCCAAACCCGAAGAGTATTTTTTCAGCGTTGATCATTTCTTGCAATCTTAAACTCGAGAGCCAGGCCTGTTCATCGTCCTCTGCATTGCTTTCGGCAGTGGGTTGCGCCATGGCAACAATTAACTGGACGAGGCGACGGAGCTGTCACTCCTGGTCACTGGTTAACCTACACAGAGGGGCGGGTCTTCTCGGGGCGTCTGTTCTGTAAGGCTGGGGTTGCGCCCTGCCCCCCCCCCCCCGCCACACTTTACTGATTGCTTGGTGGAAGTCAACCGATCTTGCCCGTAGTCTGGCCTGGGACATCACGAATGCACAACTTTTGGAGCATCTTGTACGCAACTAGCCATACACCCGTCAGCCTGCACGAGCCTACATGCCCATGGCCGCTTCCCTAGGAACCTCCTCTTACAGAAAGGGTGTGAAAATGAATCGGTCTTCGAGGCCAGATTCCTGCGGCAGCACATCAGGTGTTGAAATCGGGCAAGCACAGGCTTGGACATTCTACGGGCCTGACCTCACATAACTTCGCGGTTACCTTCAAACTCTGCATCCCCGTTTCTCGAAAGCCGTTCCTCACCCCCGGCAAGGCCGGTGCACCCGTGGCACTCCGTCGCCCGAGACGCGGCCTGCTGCAACAGAACGGGACTCCGACCCTGATCTTCGAGAGGAGCTCTGGGACTGGTGGCTGGACGACACATCACGATGTGCGGCAAAGATCCCACTCCCTCTGCCCAGATGAAGGTTCACGATCTACCAAATCTCTGCCCGGGTTTAGTCTCTATGCTCCGGAGACGCAGGGTAATGCGCTCTAAAATTTCCTCTATTTGCAAAACCCCGGAGCTAGAGTATCGAACATTTGCGGATTCCAATTTGACAAGTCTTGGCATGTGGGCTGGTCGGCCGTTCATACACCAGTCACTAGTCCACATCAATGCCGACTGGCCTTCGGCCTAGTTATCAAGTTTGGCATGTCTTCTTGGACCGCAATCGCCATCATCTTCCGGCGGTCTTTGCTCATATATACCCAAAACAAAAACAGAGAAGCCCGGTGTCACTCAGGCACCAACCAAAATGCAAATGCAGAACCTCACACCCGACACAGGGATCAGAAAGTCAGTCGGGCGCTCAGGCGTCCACGAGGAGCGGGTGCGAACGGCCTTCCGAGCAGGTGGACATGAACCAGGTGCGGCAGGGTAGACTCCCATGATTTTAGGTTGCAATAATTTAGGGAGAATCTCGGAGTTGAATTCCGAAGAGACCGTGCAAAAAGGATAATCGGAAAATCCTGTGCTAGCGAAATCCAAAGCAATGATGGCACATTTCCCCCTCGCCACCTGACAGCACTTGCCTGCGAAGACCGATACAAAGTGGTTGTGCCATGCCCGAGATTGTAAAGGAGTGCATGCTGAACAGCGCTGAGTACAGTACTGTAAGGGTACAAATCGAAACCAACACCCCGTGTAGTTCAGGTCCTTCTTGCAACACCCCCCGTCCAAACCGGTACTGCAACGGGTATCGGGCATCGAAACCTGAAACACCCCGGTACAGCCCCTCACCAGAACCTTCAAAGCACCTGCACGGCCAGTGAGAGGCGATATAGAAGGAACTCCCTGAGCATCCTGCAAGCCCGATTCTATGATGCAACTAGCTCCACAACCTCAATGCTTGCAACTAGCATCTGAAAACAGGGGCATCCAAAAATCCAAAATCCCTTTTGACCCCCTAAGTCCCTACGCTGCCCGAAGCACCTCGCAGCCTGGGCCGAGCTTGGCACCTGTGCACTGGCGAAGCTCAAAAGTGCCCCTTGGCTTACTATTACTGGTAGCGCCAGTCCAATTACTACACTGAGAGAACGGCAAGTTTGATTCGCCACAGCTCTGCCAAGAGCGTAGTAACGACTCTAACTTGTAGCTGTCATGAACATCCGGGTGACTATCATAGCTGTTCATGTTGCTGTCTTGGTACTTCTGTTCTCAACGCCACTATGAGCATGACTGCGGCCATGATGACGGAGACCATTGCTGTTGTCGTTCCTACCATCATCACCTCGGGTTCAACATCTGGCATCTGCTTGGTCGGGAGTCACGACACCTAACCAGGCTTCTCGTGAAGCGGACCAGCCCTCACCTCTAGCCTTTCAACACACCCACTTAGAGGAGCCAAGATGTCAACAACATGCCTTTTTCTTGTGCACTCTTCTCAGAGCGAAGCCTTCGAAGCCTGAGCAAAAGACGCAGCCAAGGCACCGAAGAAGCCTCGGAGCGATCGCAAGCACCTGCCGTTCTCAAAACGGGGCTCGTTCGGGAGTAGCTCGGGTGCCCTCAAGTTGTCAAACTGCAGATCCGGGCTCGAAACTCTTTATCCAGCCTATTTCTGCATGCAAGAACTCATGACAAGACGTGGAGAAACCGTTGCAATGATGATGTCCTCAAGCGATTCCCAAAGTTTGCATTCATTCCTCCCACAGCCCATTGCCGGTCCCGACGCACACCCTTCTGCGCTCCCAGCCGCCTACAGAAGTGGAGGCTTTGCTGGAATTAGGGGGGCTGCCGAAGTCCTGCGAGGCCAGTCGGAGGCAGGCTGATGGGGCCTAGTTGGCCGGCAGACCTCGTCCCCCTAGAAGCAGCTGGACAGCCCTGCGCTTTGCAATGGTGCAAGGAGTCCTTGCCATAGGCCATGCCTTCGACCTCATGCATTTACATGCATTTGGCAAGACGGGGTGTGATGACAGACGCAGCATGCCAACATCTGCGAAGCTGGTGTTCATGGTATTTCTTGGTGCAGCCCAGAATTATCCTTTCCGAGATCGCGACCTGCAGCGGTGAGGAAGACTCTGCGGAAGCAGCCCGAGCAGGTGCTGGCAGGGAGGGGCGGCAGCTTCTTCTCCGAGAAGCGTCTTCGGCGAGTCTTCGGGCGTAAGCTTCTCAAGGGAATCAGGTTCTAGACTCGTGTCCTGCGACCAGGATTTGAGAAATCAGTGATGGTGGCGAAACTACTCCACTCCGGAACTCCACTTACGTAGTTTTCTGCACGATGAAGAACCTCAAGGCTAGGATCAATTTCCAAACCTCAAGCATTGTCCACGCGGAACAGCCGCTCAAGGACTGGAGGACTGGATACTTTGCGGCCTCGACAGCTGCTCCTGCGGGGCCCCGCTTCTCTAGCCTTCACAGTAGTTTGCATGGCCCTCAAGGTGTTCCAGCTGCTAGACTGAGGCTAGAGTTTGACAGCCTGTATCAGCGAGAAGACAAGACTGTGTGCCAGGCAGGCGGTGCGAAATGGCTGGGAGATCTCTGAGAACCTCAATCGACATTGCGCGGCAGACGCGGAGGCCTCGAGCTCTGAAACATGAGTGCTAGTCACCGCAAGGAGTCTGCTCTCGAACTAAGATCAGGGCTGCCGGCGGGTTGCATCTTCTCGTGCCTGCATCGGAGGAAGCTCGTTTTGAATGAAGTCGCCTATTATATTTGGTCACACAGTGGTTGCAGGGTTCAGGCTTGGACTCTTGGCCTCATGTCTCGTGTATCAACAGCACCCCTAAGGTCTTTTCATAGAGGGTAGTTTCTCGCCATTTTACAGCATACAAAAAATACAGCAACATACAAATAGACTTCATCAACATACCAGAAAATACTATCAACGTACCAGAACATACTACCAACATACTAGAAAATACCCCGACGTACCAGACATGCTACCAACATACCAGAAAGTATTACCAATATACCAGAAAGTACAAAAAATACAGGCAACATACAAAACATAGTCAAAAATACAAACAATACAGAAAAAAATATATTGTCGGCCGGTGCTGCTTTAGGGTCTTGGAACAGGCCGGATAGATACAATAGTAGTCTCCCCACAGCAACTTCCAACAGCAGAACCCCCGGCAAGACGTGGTACGATATCCTATGTTCATGGTATGACGAGTGCATGTTTTCGAATGCCTATGGTATTTTTTCGTGCGCTTGGTATGTTTTCGTACTTTTGTACGTTTCATCGTAGTTCCCCAGATAGCTTTGGCTATTAAGGTTTCTGGTGACATTACGGCTACATAAGGGACCGCGCAGTTTCCACCGCCGACGCAGGGGATGCCGGGGGAGCAGCGGCACGCAGTCGGCATGCAGGTGGGGCGCACCGTGTCCGCCGGCGTCGAAGGGGGTGCAGCATCATGCAGGCGACATGCAGGTGGTGCGCGCTGAGTCCATCGCCGCCGCAGCGGGCGTAACGGCATGCGGGTGGGGCGTGCCGTACCCGCCTCGGTTGCAGCGGCATGCAGTCGGCATGCAGGTGCATGGGGCGCACCGTGTCCGCCGACGCGAAGCGGGTGCAGTCGGCATGCAGGTTGGGCGTGCCGTGTCAGTTCGCCCTCGCTGCGAAATTTGTCTAGACAGTGGGTATGCAACGTAGGAAGATTGTGCAGCTTGACTGCAGCAATTGCAGCAATTGTCATTCCATGAGTGTACAGTTCTACATAATCTGCACTGGGATGCCGTTTCCACTGGTAGTGTTGCAGTTTATTGTTGCAGGACTTTTGGACTGTAGGGGCCCGAGACTATCTTGCCTTGATTGACTCGACTGGAAACTCTCTCCCGATTGTGCGCCAGGGTACATTGGTATACCTGACACCGACTGTTATTCCGCATGCGTTGTAGATGCGGCGAGATTGGCAGCAAGCTGTTTGACCGATGTGTTGTCGAGTACGGAATAACAGCTTGGTGTCTTGGGGGTTTGCTGTGCGTTCCAGACTTGCATGACAACTCGTTTGACTATCTTCGGCAGATTGGTGCGCTGATTGCGGCACAGGGCATGACAGAATGCTCATGGTTATACGTATGACGCGTGCAAAGCGAATGAGCCACAACTGAAATTGATTCGGCATGTCCAGACAAAGAAAGGAAACGCTCGATCTTTGAATCGGAGATTCCAAGATGTTGCCAGCACAAATGACTGGCGAAAGAGTAACATACAGGATATACGATGAGGGGTCGACTGTTACTATCAAGGATAGGAACTTCTTGACTTTGGCAAGCACGCAGCTCAGTGACCCGAAAGAATGTAAAGGCCGAGTGGAGTTTAAATTACGCCACAAGCCGCAATTGAGGCATGTGAAGAAGAGTGAGCCCAGACATTTCCTTTCGCAAATTGGCAAGCCTGAGCTTAAAACAGCGCCAAGCCAATTGCCTGGGGGGAACAAGGAAGAGCCAACTGGTTGACCTTCCTGCTTAAGACCTTTGACAACCATCTATTTGTGTCCGAAACCACGAACCTTTCTGACGCTTCCCCAGCTATCTGGGGTCTTCGCCGGTCGTTTTTTATATGTTTTCGTACGCTGGTGTATTTGGCCCCAAGCACAAGAAAGTACCTTCTATGAACATACCCTAAGGGCCCTGAAGACTGTATGTGGGCTGATCAGCACAAACCTTGGCCAGTCCAGGGCCTTCAGACAACGAGCCCCACAATTGCTCTATGAAATCTTAGTCCACGGCTGCCGGAGGATCTCCTCATACCTGAGTCACAAATGGGTGCATGGCCAAGGGTGCTGAGCCACCGAGACCCGAAAACGCGGTGATGGATGTTACCAAGTACAAAGCTCAGCAACTCTCTGCAAGCGTTCCTTTGACCGAATACTCCCCTTGAGCGCACTGTGGGTGTATGTAGGGACCGAAGAAGCGCATGAAGCTGGCATAGTCCACCTTCCGGCCAGCGCGAGCGAGCAAAGTCGTGGCTGCCATTCTTTCTTGGTGTTGCGAAAGTGTGCGCTCTGCACTCTCTGTCCATGTATGAACAGCAGGCACTGGGAACACGAGCACCACGATGTCAGCCCCTCACCCCCGGAGCCTGCCTGATTTGAGCTGCGACTCTTGGTCAACAAAAAGTTGTACATTTGCTCACCTCGGACAGGCAAGCTACAGGCTACCCATGATGGTGTTACACCTGCGGAACACAGCAAGGGTTTGCACGTGATCCCGCCGATACCTGGCTGCATGACTTGCACACCAGCTCAGTCGCCTCTGGCATCTGCTTAATCTGCCGAGCTGCCACTCTTTGCTGGATAATTGAAGAGCTCCATGAAGCGTACGCACTCTTCACCTCGACACCGTCAAGCATGCACGGGCTTTGCGGTGGTCTGAGGCGCGGCGACACTTCTTATGATTATGCCACTCCCCACTCGTGGATGTGAACATTCCCCAGTATAGGTCAATTTGGATGCAAAGCCGATATAGGCCATGCGGAAATCTGACACCTGCATTGCCCTGCGAGTGCCAGGCGGGAGACGATGCCTTGGTTGGCTTCATCCAGATGGAGCCAACGGAAGAGTTCTCGAGTGCTTCTGTACCTGGCACACTCGGTCCAGGAGATGTTCAGCTTTTTTTGCCGCATCTCTGCAAGAAGCACCCTGTACTTGGACCGGACTTGAAACGCCGTACCTGCCACAAGTCTCCTCGAAGCGAGCTTCCCAGTCTGCGTGTTTGCTGGAATGAAATTAAATAACGAAAGCCAGAGCCAATCAGGGAAATCCTGGACAAGCTGAATCGTTGACCCAAAGTTAAATGAAGTAAGCCATCCATCGGCATCACTGATTCCGCCTCTGACTCTCGCTCTGCCCTGATCCTAATTCTCTGCACCATCACCAAATCGTTGCCACCACCATCACCATCATCACCCGCATCGCGGAAGTGATCTACCTCATTTGTAACGGAATCACCTTCAAGCCTTCAACCTCTCCAAACAAATCAGCGAGCTCATTCCTTGCCCCTGAAAACAGAGATTAAGGTTCAGGCTTTGCTGTGGCTTTGCTGCCGATGATTTCAGCCAGCTGTCTCATCTCAGCCTGCACCAGAAGATGGAGTGTAAGCACGCCTGTTGGGTTAAGCTGAACTAAACTAACGAGGCGGGCAGTCTCGAGAAGTCGCCGAGCCTTTGCCTATGAGTCGCGACTACAGACAGGTCTGCCGCAACGCTTGGAGTGGTTCCCGCTCTTGTGTAGTTCGTCATCCTGGGGTCGTTCACACCGCACAGCATTGCTGCATGCACGATACAATCTTCTTTACCACGCAGCCTTCTGCTGGGCAGCTTGACATCAAGTTGTGAAACGGATATGTTGGGCTAAGTTCAGGACAGGGTGGTGCTGTCTCTGCAGCAAAAGGAACCAATGGTCTGCCGTCGTCGAAGCATCGCTAACGACTCAGAAGGATATGGATAGGGAATCTGCAGGACTCGCAGGCATTTAAGCTGGAGTTCGCTGCTTAGCTCTGAACGCAGGCGAGAGGTGGTGCGGTGATGGCTGCATGCCCCAGGCTTGGACAGGCTTAAGTAACTTCGAACTAAAGCTGAAGCTGCACGCTTCCTCCACTCCCACGACCTGCAGACCCGAAACCAAGTCAATATCTTTCGTGACTCATCTTCTGACTTCTTGCTGGCATCTGCTGAGTGGAGTTTGTAGTTTACTGGAGCTATGCTCTAGAGGTGCGTGTAGATTCGACCGGAGGCCCACAAAGCACTCTGCTGATGTGGAGAGATGTGCGTTTCCCACCCTAGGATTGCTGCCAGGGACAGCGGCCGCCAAGACGTGGACATCAGCCCTCGAACTGCGCTTGGGATCTGTATGCCGCATTCACGTCCAAGTGTCTTTCTTGACAATCTACGGCAACGGTTTGTCAGCTTTCATTCTTGGGACCTAGCTTTGCCTAGTGGTGGAATGTAGTCTCGGCAACTCTCTTGCGTCAGCTCCGCAACCCCTGCAAGGCACTTGGACAGACAAACGAGCGGCGACCCAGTGGCGTATGAGATCCCGTGAGCAGGGACGCTGTACAATCATGCTAGGTTCAAAACATGTGGACAAGAAACAGGAATAGCACCGGGCCCAGAGCAAGGTGGGTAATCTGCGGATGTTGTACAACATGGCCTTTCAGAGTTATTGCAAGTGTCGACAATTTGCTGCTGCAGCCAGGTCTGTTCAGGGCATTATCCGACTGAAGCTGCTCCCATGCTGCCAGCAGGTTTTCCTTCGTCAGCATAGCACTTTCCGGAGCAGGCTCAGCTCGAAATGAATCAGAAAGGGTTTAAATCTCGAAACGCTATCGGGAGTATAGACTCTGCAAGGGGACTCTGTGCAAGGGCCTGCAAATTGCAGCGTCTGACAGCGGAGGATCCTCGCCGGTCCAACCTTCACAACTTCAGGAAGGCCCGTTTCACCCCGCATCTCCCAAACCTCCTCGCGGTGCCGTGCACCGGCTCATGAGGATGGATCGTCCTCGATGACGCGGGCTTGGGGCTTCAAACCAACGGCGCTGGAACGGCTTGTCGTTGGCACACCCACACAAGCATGCAACTGAAACACATGAACTTGGAAACCTCCAAGCCAAACAACCCATGCTCAAACTGCGGTCAAGCTGCAGGCGATATCAAAGACATTAAAATTGCCTCCTGGATGGCTGCATCGTCTGGATCCGCCATCTCACCTGAACAGGAGGTGATACCGACCACGTCTTCAGGCATTCCCCGAAGGCGACACAAAAGTGCCCTTGCAAAAGTGTGGCCGAAGTTGGAAAAGCCGAACACAAAAGGGTCTGCCTCCGATTTTCCCTGGCTCGGAGAGCTTCGAATCTTCACAATTACATGCTTTCGACATGGTGGGAAGCTACGTACTCACATTGTCGCAGAAGCATGACCAGCTGCTTCTCCGTGTCTCGAACCGTGGAGGGCGTGATCATGTGTTGGGGAGGCCGCAACCTGGAGAACTAGCCTAGCAGCATCTATCAGTTGGCACACGAGATGCGCGGCCCAGCCAGGAACCACAACCGATGCCCCTCGGGTGCCCACTGCCGCTCGCATCGCTCCGAGGCCCGGGGCCCGTGCCGAAGATGCCGGACATGCCAGGCCTGTCCACGTCGCTCTCCTCCACGTGGCTTTGCCCACTTACTCTACGAGCTGCCAAATCAGAAGCCTCGATCCATCTATATCCATCTCTGCCTTGATCACTACGTCGACGAAAACTAGTACAGTTTATATTTAGTCTGCCAAGAATGCGTGCCGTTGGCCTCAGAAACAAGTTTTCACTAGGCCGATCTGAGTGCAAAAACCATCCGAGCAGCACGGAAGAGGTCTCCACTGCTCCCGAACATAACATAACTCCAACTCTGGGGCGAAGTTTACAGAGTTTACACATTATCAGAGGCGACATTGCCAAAATTTCTCACCGCTGTTTGCCCGGCGTCCTGTGGTGTCGAATGTTCATCGAAACTCCAGATAGCTGACACTGAGCTTCCAGCCTGCTCCGGCATGCCGCTCGGTCCCAAAGGGACTTGCACAGGCGGAAGCTCGCCGGGAAGTCCTCCGCGATGCAAGCAGTGAAAGTATTCAGATCGAACTCCAGCTAGTGAATGAGACATGGAACTTTAGGAGTTCAGGGTGTTGGAGGGGCGAGATTTCGGCACGAGAGCACAGCTCCAGGCACACTTTCAGCTTGGCTTGCATTCCGAGGCTTTGGGACAAGTAAAGGCAAATTGCCTAATGCTCGCCGCAAGCGGGCGCAGCCCCCCAGCTCCGTATGCAAACTGCGCATCCCCCGCCAGGCCCCCTCACACCATATGAAACCTGCACATCCAACTCCATGGTCTGGAAGAACTTAACTCTCCGGTCCTGCGGGCATGCACAGTCGTTCCTGAGATCGGAAGCCGGCATGTTGCAGTTCACGGTACATCCGTGATTGAACTGCGAGACTCGGAGCGTCATCGTAATTTCAGCTTGAGGCTTCCAGTCTTTATGGACCATTGCCGACATGAGTGCCCATCATTGAAGTGTTTCCAATTGCATTGTCCTCCAGCTTCTGTTGTCATGAGCCTCTATGGTGGCATGCAGTCTTGCGTTGCCCGTCCCACGGCTGGACATGGCTGAGTCGGTGCTGCTTGCGCGCCAGTTGGACTATGCAAGCAAGCAGCGTAAAAGAAAATGGAGACACTGTCCACCAGGTACTCTGGCCTCCACAGTGAGGGCATCTCTTGTCGCAACTATCCGTGGACCAAAAATCGACCTTTCGACGCAACCCTGAAATCGTACATTACATGCAGTTTTGTCTGAACCCTTTGGCCCAGCAATGGCCACTGCTGAGGGGCGCCAAGGAGAGGGAGTAATGGCCGATGCATCACACACGTCTAGCTTCCCAATGCGGTGCCTGGCCGAGTTGTGATCTCCATCAATCAACACCTGTCATGGCTGCAAGGTTATAGTAGCAGTGCTGAGAAGATGGTTTAGGTTGTTCTTGTTCTTGTAACAAGATACACCATACCGTGCCACACAGCTTCATGCAGCAAAAGGGGCCAAGAATCCTGAGCTGTTAAAACCGACTTCATGAAATGTGAAGACTGGAACCGTAGTCCTACCGACACTCGCAGAAGTCTGAGGCACAGCATCTATTGCTTCAAGAAAACTTTCGATTCAGTTCTTGTAGATTCCGGTCCGTCAATCTGGCCGATGGCCATATTCACAAGTCTTAGCTCCCTTCAAGCACTTACCCCCTTCGTGCCATGTTCTTGTCGCCCGCATACAGCTCATGGATGTCGTGGGTGTGGTGCGGGTCGATGAGATCGTCATTGACCTCATCTCAGGATGTCTTGCTGGTGGGCTTTGGACGATGTGGCTCTGTTCAATGGAACCACAGCCCCATGCCAGCTCGCATTGGAGGGAATGTCTGCAGCTCAGGAGCACCAGCCACGAAGAGAGCTGGAATAAAACATGTGTGGACATTCCTCAGACCGGCATCTCAACGGTCTGAATTTCGGATGGTGAGCTGCTCAGACCAAGAGAAAACGAAAACGACTGAGCCCCAATTTAGTGCTACGTCTCCAAGAGCCTTGCGTCATGCACTGCTACATTCTCACGTTTCTGCATAAGCCAAGGCCGTGCTCGACCTAGTCCCCAGCTGCAGGTACTATAAAGCTCTTTCCCAACAGGCTTGAAAGCACGCTGCCTTAGGAACCCTGACCGGGCGTCTCAATAGGTTTCAGCTTGAGGATGTCCATGCCAGTGCCTAGGAGCAGGCAGAAGAGCAGGATGCTTGGGCATCAGGACAGCAACTACTTGAGGTCCGAGGGTACATTAGTGAGTGGCCACAGCATCAGCCGATGGGCATGCCTTGCGCGCAAGTTGTTGAAAACTTGTCATGTCAGCATCTCATCGTACTACCACTGCAACGTTCTGCCTCCTGGGTAGACTCTCTCGGCAAGAGTTGAGTTGTGTAAGAGACTGCTTCTCCTATTGCGCAAAGCTTTTTGAGGGCATTTTAGCCTGCTCCAAAGCTAAAACCGACGTTCATTACCAAGTTGTTCCAGAGCGGTTACACATATCAGACGGTGCACCCATCCGACACCCAACCGTAGGCTTCTTTGGGACTTTCAGGCCACGGAGCGCTTGAGCACCGTCTTCCGTACCATTCGAATCGCGGCAGCCACCAGAAGAGAAGGCTTGAAGCGCAGTGGCACTTTATCCTGGGCTGCGGGAGCTTGGAGCTCGTTGGGTACTTCCTTCCCTGGCACCTTTGCCAGCTGCAGCTTCCGCCACAAGGTGCTCCGACCGTCACAGGACCCAAACATTCCACGGCATGATGGAAATCGGAAAAGCACGTGTGTTTCCACAGTGGGGTTGGGGATGCAGCGGGATAGTCGCGATGAAGGGATGCGCTAAAGTGAAGGAAACGAATTAACGTGGCATTGCATGGCATGCTTGCGCTGCAGATCGGTAAGATTTGTTTCAGGGAGCTCACAGTTTGCATTGCGCGCCCTTGCAGCATGTGCAGGTGAAATGTGTTGTTCAAGCTACCATGAGCAGACCACACCACCTCCTGAAGCTTTCGACCAGCTTTCGACCCTTTGTCGCTCGCCGCAAGCGTAGAACCTTTGTCTTGCTGAGACCCTGAGAGCCAACCCAATGCAGCCGCTGTGTCAATGAGCTCCCTGACCACCATCTCCAGGCTGGAGAACGGAGAGTCCAGGACCAAACCTGCAATGCTTGGATCGCGGTGCCCATGCCTCGGTACGTTCGTGCTTCGCTTTTTTGGAGGGGCATGACAAAGTCTGCTTTTAATACCCCTGCCAAGAAATTATGCCAGTGTCTTGCGTGCGCAGGGGCGAATATGTTCGGGATAACAATTAGACTTAGACTCTTAAACTGGGCGGGCGGTCGCGAATATCTTCCAACTCCTCTTTCATTCCAAGAGACAGTAGGGCGGTTGCCGCACCCATGGAGCGGCCCCATAATGCAATGGTCGACACCTGCCGTTTACACATTCATAACCCGTGAAGACCCAAGCCCAGCCCCAACATGCCCTGTAGCATCGCCAGAGTATGCAGCAAAGACAGCTGATAACACGGATATGACATGATGTAGTCACTTGCCAGCAATGGAACTTATGACTTATGACGTGGTCCGGTCTGGAACCCTCGCCCGATCTCGCCCGCAAAGAGCGATCGATTTCTAGTTTCCAGGAATGATGATGGATGGACTTTGGGATCGTGAAGCCGCCTCTCCACTGTCCCGGAGGTACGAGATGATGGTGCTGACATCTTCCTCCAATCGAGTGACTGTCGCGCAAGCGTCTGAAAACTAAGCAAACTCTTTCCCCTGAGCTGGTGCGATCACGAACCCCTTTTTCCAAGCTTTTCCGGCATATGCCGGCTAATCTCGCGCAGCCACTGATTGAAGTCTAGCAAACCCTCAAGCCACTTGTAGTAGTGCCATTGCGCCACACGTTTAGAGGGTTCCCTGCAATGTCCCGCTCGTGATAGCCCAGCGTGATGTAGTCACCTGGTCCGGAGTTGCACCAGTCGTGTCTAAGGCTGTAAACCTCGAGGAGCATGAGGAGCACAGCTACCAGTCAACAGCCTATATAAGTACTAGTATGTTGCCTAAGACCAACTTTTCCAGAAAGACCTTCGGAGAGCCCGCAGCCCGCGAAGTCGAAGGCGAACATAGTGATGCCCCGCGTAAGGACCTGAGTTTCGTGATGTGGTCATTGTAGCCGCATGTGATGCCGCAGCCCGCAATATCCCAACCATGACGAGGCTGTGGCTGCGCAGGGGGTCACTGGATTGCTAAGACCCCGGCCATGCGTACATGCTGCATGGCTTCCAGTCGGCAGGAAGAGTTCCCATGAAGGCAAACCTTGACAGTCACAGGTGGAAGGCCAGCTTGAAACTGCATCGATTAGACCCCTCCGAAATAGCGGCACCGGCTTGTACTTTGACCTGGCCGGTTGGCTCATATCCAGCTGAGAAAACCCAACAGGTTAACACCATTGCAACATCCTCACTGCAAATTTGCTGTGACATCCTGTGACCCATATCGAAACGACTGTGCTGACAACTGACACATGGCCGCGGCGGTAGTGCGCGCAGTGTTGCTGAAACGAAAAAACCCAACAAGCAGCATCAGCATCGGCATCAGCAGCTGCTACTACTGCTGCTGCTGC